TCTCTTCTCTTCAACTCCATCTTCAATTGACTTTATCCATGGAAATAACGCATCCATGTCTTAGACATCAAATCACATCTGGGTAGCTTCAAATGTGCTGGAAAAATAGTACAAAACCTCTAGGAATTGATTGCAAAGAATAAATGGTCAAGTAGTGTAGCCATCAGTATCAAATCGGCAGTCTCCATGGTGGACAAACAAGTGACTCGTCGAGTCATATTGACGACTCGTCGAGTACAGTCTCGGAAAGTCTCAAAAGTATAAGTAAAAAGGGTGACTCGTCGAGTAGGTTTGTTGCACTCAGCGAGTCGACCACTAGGTGGAAAAATAATTTTCTTCATTTTTCCAGCTATTGATAAAGCTCAATAACTTCCCATAACTTCTAAAATTATTCACTCAATTCCCTTAGGACCAGACTCGACACCTTAGCTCTAAACATCACCCTTTCTTGGCTCTCTTCCACTCTTTTTCTCTTTCTCTCAAACTCTAAACCCTTTAAGAAAGCATTCCTAACTCAAAATCTGAAAGTCATCAAGGCAAATAAAACATCAAACACATAACTTAGAGTTTCAACCAAGAATTCAAAACACACCAAACAAAGCAAAAACCAAAAATAAAATGAAAATTGTTTCATTAAACATAAAAAAACTAATCCTCCTCCTCATCATCACTGCCATGAGCAGCTCCGCTCCCACCAGCTCCACTTCGCCTTGCATCAATGACCTCGTCCCACGAAGGAATGTAAATAAAATTACACCCCATCAATGTGCGGAATATGGAAATGATCAAAAAGCCACACGTGGGATTCGTTGCTAAAATTGATGCCCCTCACCATTTGATCTTGGAGCCTCCTCATCTCAACATTGTACCAATCCATTGGTACTTCATCATTGTCCATCGGAATCACCAGCGGTTCCTCCTCCACTTCCCACTCACGTCTTGATCTAACCATCCTTCCCGGTGCCTCGGGTCCAATTACCTGATCGTTACTTGGGATAGCATAATGACCACCACCAATGTCTTCAATAATTCTTGCCCTCAGAAAAAGAATAGGATTAAAGGGAGGGGCAGGAACCATTGTCATCAAATTCCATGCTCCGCGGGTCATCAACCCATATGATTTGGCTAGTCGGGTCACGAACATGCCACCGTTAATTTTGGACGTTTTGCGATCCTTGACTGCACCCTTCGACAAGTAAGAAGCCAAACACCATGGAATGTTGTAGAAAGTGTCGGGCGTGATGATACTCGAAAGATAAAATACATCAAGGTTGGACACCTTGTCGTCATACTTCCTTTGATTGATGGTAGTGGAGATAAGGCGATGTATGAGGCGGTGTGGGGGGACCTAATGCTCCCTTCTTGAGCCGATTTCGGAATGTATACTTTGTTGGCGATTGTGTTCCACTAACTGGTACTTGTAACACCATCGGGAAACACCTTATGAGATTGTTCCAAGAAGGCACATAAGATAGCAGTAGTAACCAATGGTTGGTCGTAAATCCCCATTCGAAATGCAAACTCAATGACAGAACATTGATGGTATTCACCCCCAAGACAAAAACTAAAACTCGTGGGGTGGTAGCAATCATCTCCTCCTCGGAAAGACACCGTGGAGAAAAATTCCCAACAAAGTTCTTGATACACTGGCTCTTGAATTCTAAAAACCTGGCTCCATCCATCACAAATAATCGTCTCCCCTTCATAAGTAAATTCCTTCACAAGGTAAGGCGTCAACTCTTCTTCATACCGGACACTATTTAACCAATCCCAGTCAATCCGATTAGGTACATAAACCTCCTTCTTTCTGACATCAGCCAGCCTCTTCTTCCATCTTGTCATCGTTGAAGCCGATTCAATTGGAGGAAAATTCAACCAAGGAAAATCTTCTTGGTTTCCTCTTGAGCTCTGTCCTCTGAAAAACATGATCTCTGCAAAACAAAGAACAAACAACCCAGCAAATACATAAAAACATTAAAAAACATTATTCATCTGGGTCCCCGATTGGACTCGTCGAGTCCATGAACAACTCGACAAGTCGCTCGAAATGTGCGAATCAGTCGACGCATCGAGCAAAATTCGACATTAAAAACTTGAAATTTTTTCAAGGGTTTTGTCCATGGATGTTACTAAGATGTATTAGAGAAAGAATAACCATCCAAAACAACACAATTCATACTAAATCAAAACCCTAATAAACTTCAAAATTGGGTATTGTATGAAATTGACACCCTAAATCATCTAATAATCATGGCTTTAACAAAATTAAGGAAGAAATTAAGTACCTTTATTGATACAATTTGAAAATCTTGAAGAAAGAATGTAGACTTTGATGAATGCTTGAGAGAGAACAAAAGAGGCGCAAGTTGAGTAAGGTGGAGAAAAAGATGATCTCATTAGCGTTAAAAACCCCAGTTTTAGCAAATGTAAAATTAATTTTTTTTTCTGTAAATAAAACCGACTTGTCGAGTCAGGGTCAGACTCGACGAGTCTGGTCGCGAGTTCAAAAATCATATTAGTTTGTCATAAAATTTTTATTCCACCCCACACTTAATCCATACGCACTCTCAAGCAGTCAAGCCTAATGATTTAGAGGAAAAAAATAAAATCCTAAAAACGAAAAATCAAAAAAAACTAAAAAGATAAAAGAAAGCAAACTCTAATAACGGGTTGCCTCCCGCCAAGCGCTTCTTTTTAAGGAGTCGTTAGCTGGATTCCTTCCCATCTACGTTTCTTCATCTTCCTGCATCAGGAATGCACACCTAATCTTTTGTGGTTTATACTTTGCCTTGTAAGCGTGTATCTTCTTTTTGTAAGCTCATCTTAATTCTTTTCTCTTTTTCCTTATAGCATAATCTTCCTCTGTATGAATTACCCTTTTCCTCTTCTTCTTCTTCTTTACCCCATTCTCTTTAAACTTTATTACTTCATAGTTGATGAAAATCCGAGCTCGAGGTTTGGTAATATGCGACTTAATGAATGGGTCATCAGCATCATCTTTCATAACCGTTGCATCTCCCTCTTCTCCAAAGCGCCTCCTTTTCAAGTGTATTGTCCTTACCTTCTTGCATTATTGTATCGAGACATGCTACATGAACGTGTTGAAGATCACCATCCTTTCCTCCTTCTGTTGCTTGATCTTCTGTAGAATTAGGGAAAATCTTCATGTCCAGAACATGCAGAGAGCTGATAGCCAGCAGATCAAAATCGGCTAAATTGATGTGATTTTCGACTGGACTCGTTGAGTTCATTAAAGCGACTCGGCGAGTCGGAGCGAATTTCTCACATTCCACTGTGTTTTCGGAATTGGTTCCTTCCAGCAGCTTCTCTATTTTCTCCAACTCTTTGTCAACATCATCATTTCCTCCAGAAGATAGCAAAAACTTACTCGGATCTTCTTCTTGTAAGAGAGCAAGTTCTTTTTGTAATATTTCATCATCCAAAATAACGAATGAGACTTCTTCTTCTCTTCCTTCTTCTTGCTTAACTTCTGGTAGAGCTTTAAACACTACTGACTCATCTCTTACCCTCAACGTTAGTGTGGACTCGCATACATCTACTAATGCACCCGCGGTATTCAAGAATGGTCTCCCCAAAATAATTGGAATTTTGGGGTCTTCTTCCATATCTAGCACTACAAAGCCCACAGAAATATAAACTTATCCACCTTGATGAGGAGATCTTCACAAACAACTCTTGGACTAATAATTGTCTTGTCTGCCAAATGGATCTTCATATTCACAGGCCTTAGCTCTGGTAAATTCAGCTTCTTGAAGAAAGACAAAAGCATTAAGTTAATACTTTCACGCCCAAATCGGTCAATGCTTGAGTAGCAAGTACATCTCCAAATTGACAAGGAATTATGATGCTTCCCGGATCGCCCTTCTTTTCAGGTAGCCCACTCAATACTATCTTCGCGACTTCAGCTAAATCCTTTCTAGCAGCAAAGAGACCTTTCAGCAAGTTAAAATACTTGGGTGTTTGAAGCATTGTTTCCATAAATGGAACGTTTACTTGAAGGGATCTAACATGCTCCATAAAAGCTCTGTATGCTTTAACCTTTTCAGCAGGTATGGCTTTGATTGGGAATGGGAGAGGAGGGTTGTAAGGCCTTAAAGAAACAACAGTTTTGTTATCAGGGCATGGACTCATCGAGTCCATTAGAGGGACTCGGTGAGTCTGGTCGGGTTCAGCTGGATCCGACTCTTTTGTCTTTTTCTGCATGCACCTTGGAGATCTTCTGTGCAGGGGTGAAAATTTTTCCATAGCTGGAGGTCACAACATTCACATTCTCCATCCTCGGATTATTCTCGGTTTTACTTGGAAGTTGACTCGGTCTTCTCTCGTTCAATTGTTGTGCAAGTTGTCCTAGCTGTTTCTCAATGTTGAGAATAGATGCTTGCTGATTCCAAAGTATATTTCTAGTCTCATGTATTGCAGCATCATGATCATTGTGCCTTTTTTCCGACGCGGCTATAAATCTTGTGAACATTTCTTCTAAAGCGGCCTTCTTTTCCATAACCGACTCTTCCTTTTGATAAAAACACCTCTCCTTCTGCTTGTATTTCTCCTCCTTTGCCTTTTTGTATTCTTCATATGGGAGCCATTCCTTCTTCGGTTTCCGCCAATTCTCATCGTCACGATCGCCGCTTGAGTAAAACACTTGCTCCTTTTTGTTTCCATTTGCATGTAACTCACAATCCTTCGTGAGATGAGGACCACTACAGTTCTCACATCCAAATCGAATAGTATGGATTGTTTGATCCATTTTTTCATCCTTCTATCTAAACTATCAAGCTTAGCCATCATCGTTGCTATGCGATCATTTGCCGAGTTCACTACCCCCTGCTTACTTCATTTCTTGGGTTGTGGTATTCTCTAGAATGTTTAGAGATTTCTTCAATTAATTCTTTGATTTTTGGGGGTGGTTTCCTTGTGAGCGGGCCTTGCGAGTCAAGCAATTGCCTTGTGGTGACATTGACTCCATCATAGAAGATGGAAACTTCTTGTTGGTTATTAAGGTCATGGTGAGTTCTTTGAAGAAACGGATTCTCTAACGGCTTTTCCTTTGTTCCTCCTAAGTGCGGATTCTGGGTCTTCTAGAGGAGGGACCAGAGGTGTATCAGATCCTCAGGTCATGAAACAACTACAAGCAAAATAAGAAAAAAAAACACGTAAAAAGAACAAAAATAATGTTTATTTATCAACAAGGGATTTCTTGAGTTTTCCTGAAACAAATATCTAAAGTGTTCTTCAGTATGCTAAGAGTTCTTGTAAAGAATACTTCTTTCGTATCCTCAAGGATCCAAGGAACAGCTGCCTGAAACATTAAAAATGGTTTTTTTTAATTCATCATGCCACCATAATTACATTATGCCATTATATTATATTAATGGCTTAGCTGCAGTAGTTGAGCTTGCTGAACCAGTGGTAGTGGTACCTCTCCCTCTCAGCCTTGTAATCAGTTCATCCTGCACCTCTCAACAGTCCAACTTTATAGATTTTCAGGTATTTCTAATTTCAATATGTCTGCATGATGTAAAATCACCACTACTAAGTAAGAAAGTATGATCATTTACCCATAAACATATTACTAAAAAAACAAGATCGAAAAAGTATGATGGCTTTTTTTCCTACATAATTATGGATGCAGAAAATCAGAATTTATCTAAAAATCCATTCAATACCTGGAATATATTCAGCACAAGGGGCAGGAGATTTTACAGAGAGTCCTGATGTTGCAAGAAATAAGCTTACTTGGGTTTTATTGGCATTCTAAGAGAAGAAATTATCATAAAGATGAAAATCAATAAATTAAATTGAAAGAACCAGCTTATTGCAATGCAATATGTGAAAGCAAATAACTGTATTTGATATGAAATTACCTCCACTGAAGGAGATTTGTGTTTCCTGTCTTCAAAACAAAAGTGTGAGCACAATAAAGACTTTGTATTAGATTTTTGAGAGGTATCCTCAAGATCATAATCCATGTTCTGAATAATTACAGGCTGTTTCTAGCATGTATGTAGTTTTAGAGTCTCTAAATTTGGCTGCAACAGCCTCAGCTGCACGCTTTAGCATGTTCTCTGCATCTGAACCAAAATTTGAGAATATTTCATGTTGCTTTTCTAAAAACAAACATGCATAAGAAAACGGCGTACCTTTTGGATCCTTTACTAAATATTTCATATAGTGTCTTATAATCAACTAAAAACCTAACCTTGGCGGGACCCATTTTGGGTCGTGGATGTTGCCCTCTTAGCAGGAGACCTACCATCCACAGTTCTTTCTGGGTCCCTAAGGACAAAACAGTAATCTTTCATTCCCAAAAATATATAAAAACTAAATCACATGAACGTGAGCAGAAAAAACAAGTATGTTTTAATAAAATAAAGTTAAATACCTCTTTCTTGAACCCTCGTTTGTGTCTGCACCCTTTCTATTCTGTGAAGTTGTTCCAGACTTCTGTTTTTGCTTAAGGAGAAGTGATCTAGTTAGTATGTTCACTTGATTAGTCTTTATAAGCTGATTTTCTGACAAAAGAAAAAGCTTTATAAGTTATTTGACATCTTTGTCACGTAATTCACATACAGTAGAGATAATTTTGTAGAAGATGATCTGGAGGTGTTGTGTCATGATCAGTAGAAGGCTTCGATGTACTAAGGTGGGTACCTGGTTGACTCGGTGCAACTTTTTATTTATAGGAATTGATTAATTTTTCAATGACACACAAAGGATCAAGACATTTGAAAAAAATGGGCTGAATTATGGCGACTACCTTTTTGTGGTTGTCCCATTCTTTGATACATTAGACCAAGTACATGACAAAATAATATACCTTGGATAGAGCTTGACTAATAACCGTTTTCTCACAGCCAAAGGCACCTGGAATGGCACATGTGCCTCCAAGCACCGAAGGGAAAAGGGAATCAAAGATACGCTGACATAAAAAAAATTACAGAAACATGCAACCAGGGACTAATTTGCAATAATATAAAAGATTTGAAACTTACATGTACAGTAAGAAGAGGGTATCAACAACAAGCTTCCCTAACTTTATCCTGACTTCTTGCAAAATGTATTTGATACCTCCCTTTCAAGCCGATCAAGTATATTTAGAACTTTCTGATGATGATGTTTTTCAGCCTCAAACTGAAATTAAACATTAAATACATTATTTTCAATGTTTATTAATTTATGAGAAACTTAAAGAAAAAAACATTGCATAATAGAGTAATTAATCACCATGGATATATGTCGTTGAAGTGTTAATCTCTATTGTTGAGCTTCAATAGCTGACATGGTAACAACAACTTCTTTACCCAATACAATCATGTTTGACTTCAATTCCTGAAGCCTAGCTTGAGCAACTTCATATTTTGACAAATTACCAACATTCCCACTAGATTCCCTCACTTTATCTTGCCTTCTTGCAACTTCAATCACATGTAAAGATGATGAACATGAGGAGGGCATTTATGTCTTTTATACATAACTAACTATATAAATTATGTTAACTTGAGCTTCAGCTTCTTGTCTGACTCTATCATATCTTTGTGCATGATGTCTTGCATCCTCCCATGGAGCTCCCACTACCATAGCTCTCAAAGGCTCTACAACTCATTGCTGCTTTGGATAATGAACTACCACTTGTGCAAGTGTTCTCAGCACCATATTTCATGCTGTCTTCAGAGATTTTGGTACCTATAGACAGAAACACACATACACACACATGTATTGATAGTGTGAAAAATGAAAACTGTAATTTGGAAACTAAATTGAAGTTACCAATTTCAACTTGCTTGGTTTCGGTTACAATAAAACCCTTAACACCACGGACAATATCGCGTTGAAGGTTCTGGTAAAAAAGAAGGAATGTTATTATGTTAAGAGATAATATGAATAGCTTGCAAAAATTTTAAAATGAAAAGAAAATTAATGTGTGTATCCTTAGCAGATCGGGTTAATATGTAAAGCTTTTCAAGTTTTTGTTGTTGTTGTAGTTCTACTTCAAGCTTTTGTTGTTGTTGAAGTTCTACTTCATTTCATCACCAAATCAGATTTACAACTAAAACAACTTTATCAAGTGCTATTGCTGCATATTGAGGCCAAAATGATTAGAATCTCTCGAAATATGTAATACTTTAGCAATAATATTAAAAAATAAACTCTAGATGAAAAAAAATACCATCTCCAAATCCATAAAATGGATTCAAGTTATCTTCATCAAAATCGAATCTTGTCTTCACAATAATGGAATTTAGAAAGCACCATGAAATAAGAATTAGAAAGTCAGTTTTCTACTCAATGATTTTGGTGAAATAAATCCCAAGAATGTGGTTGAAAGACTCTAGTTCTTCACTTCAAGGCCTCTATCACCTGTGAATGGAGTATTTGCCTCATAAAATTAACCATATAATTTCCAATCAAAACCATAGTAAGACCAATCCATAAATATTGAAAAAAAAACATAGACATATTTGTTGGATTAGTATAACACATCAAGATTATATTAAAAAAACAATTCAAAACAGAACTCTAGATTTTTAGTCATAAACCTGATGTTCAAACTTAAAAAATAGAATTCCAACTTCCAAGCACTTAGAAAAACAAAAACAGATTACATCAGCCTTAGAAGCTAAACAAAAGTCATCCACATGGTTAAATTCACCAATGAATCAATTAGCTCTCTGTTAAAAAAGAAAGGAGATAAGGAACCTTCATGAATATGAAAAACCTCTTGTTTTCTCCTAGAAAGATGTTGATGAATGTATATGAGGTCCTTAAGCATTAAATTTGTTTCCAACAACTCAATTAATTCACTCTGAGATTAATCATTTAGTCCAATATGAGATTCCAAATCCCGAAAGCTGATTTTGTTTACAACAGCTTAAAAAATGATCACTCTATGAGTTTAATTATTTAGTTCCACATCAGATTCATAACCTGAACATTGATTTCGTATGGATTATCATGACAATCTGAATTAATTGAAATCAAATTAAACAAAACCTACAGTCAATACCTGAGAAGGAAGGACGAATGATTCACCTGAGAAGGAAGGACGAATTGATTTCCAGCGTGGTGATAATCTTTCATATGTATTAAGCCAAGCTGCTTCAGCTGGTGCATCAAGAGAATTATCGAAAGCTAACAAAAGGCGATGAGTGCATGAGATGGATTGTCAACAAGGGTAAATGTTGATTCAAACCCTAGAAATCGCTCCAAAAGGGTCAGCGATGGGAGGGGGAAATTATTTTCAATGTAAGATATAGGAGGTTGCTTCGAGCCCTAGAAATCACACGATGTCGATAATAATGAAGAAGCTATGGTGGTGTTTGAGAGTAATGTTTGTTCTTGTTCTAGATGTGTAGCTGAGAGACATGTGCTTGAAGGTGGTTGCAATCAACAATTATTTTTGGCAGACGATAGGTGAAGCGAGGATTTCAATCGATGTTTTTAGAGTGAAATCGGAGATTGGAGAGCCAAAGAGGAGAGAGTCACAGAAGCATGAAGTGGTGGCGATGGCTTACGTTTGCTGAGAGAATGGAGTAGAGAATGAAGGGAGATAGATCGAGAGGAGATAGTGCCGAAGCTGAAAGAAGGTAGAAAAGAACAAGGCGGGTTTTCTAAATTTTGGGGATTTCATTTTCTCCCGTATCTACTAAACGCGCATTCATTAAAATTATAAAGCGACACTTCTGGAGGATGCGCATTTAAGATACAGCGCCCTCCGTGTTTTTAATTTTTTTCTTTTGACACTAATTTAAGGTCACGCAATAATGCGTGACCTAAATCCCTAATTTTTTTTTTGAAGAGATGACACTTTTTTTAATGTCACTCTCATTTGCGTAACATAAATCAATGAGTGTCGTGGTTTGCACATCGTAAAAGGTTGTTTTTCTAGTAGTCATGGAAACCCCCATGACCGAAATCACCCTTGATGGGTGACCCCTAAAACCGAAAACCCCTCTAAGAAGAGCCAAAAACCGAAAACCCTATCCCTTAACATAGTGAATTCGGTTTTGGGTGCAAGACCCAAATTTTGACCCTATTAGTGCCACTTCAATACTTTACACTTCTTTAACCATCAAACAAACACACCATGCATCCAAATATACTTCATGCTTCCATGCAAGACACCCTAGTGACCAACATGTATCAAGAAAGAGGCATCACCCCCTCTTCTTTTAACTCTCGTCCGAGAGTGGGGGAAAGCCCACTCTTGCCATTTCTTTCTACTTCACCTCCATTTTCTATGTAGAACAAACCAATTTCCTTCAAGAATCATCAAATTCAAGCTGGTCCTAGGATATTTGGTAAGCATTTTCATAAATCTTAAGTGTTTTTATGCACCTTTAAGTTAAAATGTCCACGTTTACGCACATTTTCGGGTGTTGAACTTACTAGGATACTAACACCCCCAAGAATCTCTTCAAGTTCATCATCTCTATCTTAGGCTCGAAATCTCTTTCATCTTCCTTCAAATCATCCACAAAACCAACCCAAGGTGAGCTTCATACCCCCATTTTTGAGTTTTTCATGCTTTTAAGGGGGGGGGGGGGGGGGGGGGAATACAAGTCTAAGATGTGTTTGTCCTACGGATATTTGCATGCTTCACCTTATTTATATGATTATGAAGTGTTATTGGCATAATAAGTCATCATATATATATATATATATATATATATATATATATATATATATATATATATATATATATATAAATCATGACTTATGTGGTTTTACAAGACAAAATATGTTTTTCCTTTGGATACTTGCATGTCTCATCCTTGTTACTTTAATATGGTAAAATATTTGTATAAAAATGTAAACATCACCACTCTTCACATAAAATTTTTGTGACATATAGAGTTTTATTTGCAAATATAACAAAAGTATAACTTATTTTGTGCTAAATATGTTAACCCGAAATTATATGATGTACAAACTACAATACAAGTTAAAATATGTTATATTTTGGATATTTGCATGCTTCATGCTTATTATTGGAATATGATGTTATATTTGTGTAAACATATAGATGTCACCATTTTTTTTTACATAACTTTCGTTTCATATGAAGTTGACATGCAAAAATAACACAAACACAACTTATTTTGTGTTACAAACATGAACCTGAAAATGAGTTGTACCAACTACAAGTTTTTGGTAATTTTTACTAAAAAAATAGCTTTTCTAGTAGAAATGGTTATATTTTTAGTTATAACTATTTTGGTGGGTTAAAAACCCAAGTATATTATGTTTTAATAACATATATAAACACTAAACAAGATTACAACTGGATATTTATATAATGTTTATATAAATAGTCTACACAAAAACATACAATGCAAACTATAATGGGTATATTTTGGGATTCACAAAACCATACTTTTATAACGTTTCAATGGTATAAATATTCCGTTAAACAAGACAAAGGGAGTTATAGTTCACGTAAATTTGTTAATGCTCTAGTGAGACATTCTCTTCACCGTACCTACCTAACATACAATTTAAGTCCTGCATTATATCCAGAGTCTCTTGGAGGGAGAGCGAGATAGTTGTGTATAGATATATATGGGATTGACAACCCCACACCTAAGCTGTTCGCTACAGCTAGACGGGCCAAACTAGGGTGACAACTATCTACCAATTTTGACGCCTGAAGAACGTCGTACATGCATAACAATCACATTAAGCATCGTTATAATAACTCACATAGAGATTAACAATAGTATCATGGTTTATGGGAAGCTTACACTTCACCAGTTTTATAAAAATATAAAATTACATACTACTTTTCCTTACGCTATTTCTTACATTTCTGGTCTTAGGGTTTAAGACCACAACTCCCATATAAGAAAATATCGGATTTTCTGGAAACATACATACTTATTCACTCCTTAGGGATAAATATACAAAGGAAATTCATACATTTTTAGTATTGGTTTATTATACTAACAACCTATCTTATAGAAAATATCAGATTTTCTGGAAACATACAAAAATCACTTTAAACAGAGCAGTTACAAACCCTTTTCATACAAAAATGCTTATGAACTCACCAACATTATTGTTGATGAATTTCAAAATCACTTGTATTCTCAGTGAACTAGTAACATGTATTCAACTCTTTTGAGATCAAGTGTTACTAAATTATGGAATTTTACTTTTCAGTCATTATTGTGTAACTTTTGAACAAACACAGTATGTAAACTATGTAAGCTTGTATTCTTAATGTATGTTGTTTGGGTTGCTATGTCTCATTTATATCCAACTATTGTGACACTATACAATGATGTCATCCACCCATGGACGTTTCTGCCGCTCCGATTCGGGGGTGTGACATATCTTTAGCTAGATTTCTCCATGTAAATGTTAAGGAAATTTTCTAGTTGATTGTGGGTTATTTCAGGTATTGGGCATGTTCTGAAGTTGTAACTTCAGATCTGGACTCCTCTAAGTCCCTATAATCATAAAGTTATCAGATTTAGAAAGATTTGGCCCTTGTCCTTGGGTTATACCTTTCTCTTAGCTTGGTTTTGGCATTTAGGACCATGCATGTATGTAAAGTTTGCAACTTTACATGGAAATCATGCCCTAGGAGGTTAGATATCTAATCTAGAGCTTTGAGGTAGCTTAAAATCGTCTGAATGAGAAATGGGCTGAAGGGACTCGAGGAGTTGCATGGTCAACTTGAGGAGTCGGATGAAGATTGGCCATGGTGGGTTTCTGCATAGACTCGGCGAGTCATGAGACGAATCGACGAGTCAGTTATGGTTTCCCGACATTTGTACACGCATGGACTCGACGAGTTGTCTAGAAACTAAGCGTCTCAACTAGGGTTTTCACAATTTCTTGAGTTCTGGAAGGACTCGACGAGTCAATGAGCTGCACTCGATGAGTTGGGTCAACATGGACTATTCACCTTGACCATTGATTTAGACTTTGACCAAGGGTTGACTAGTTTGACTTATAGGGGTATTTTAGTAATTTGGGAATTTATGGAAGTAAATCATTGGTGGATCACTACTAGAAAAATAGCCTTTTACGATGCTCATTGCGCGTCGTAAAAGGCTCAGACGATGCGCAAATGTGCGTCAAGGAAGGCCCTATCATAAAGAGAGACGACGCACGCGTCGTCTATAGACGACGCGCATTTACGATGCTCATTTACGATGCGCAATTACGACGAGAGTTTATGACACGCAATGCGTATCAAGGAAGGCCTTGTCATAAAGGAAGACGACACGCATTCATGTGTCGTAACCTTACGAAACGCGTATTAATGACACACAATGCGTATCAAGAAAGCCTCTGTCAAGAAAGGCCATGTCATAAATGAGGATGACACACATTTTTGCGTCTCATAATTTTAAATGTTTAAAAAAAATATTATTTAAAGATTTACTAATTTTCAAATTAAATAATACATTAAAAATCTCATAATACAAAATAAAATACCATAAATAACAAAGATAATTCATTTCACTAATATGTCAAATACAAATAATTATTCCAAAAGTGAGTAAATGTTATAAGAAAAATGAACTCATTTATATACAGTTGCATCATCTAGCTTACTATGTGCCAGCAACTCTCTGTGTGTTTACTTTTGCTTGAGTCTCATTTCTTCCGAAGCTTCTAGCCATGCCAAAATATGATATCTTGAGTCTCGTATGAATAGATCATGCGCAATAGGTCTAGCTTGTATCATTCCAAATAATTCCAATGAGGGTCTTTATACAAGCCAATAATTTGAGAACATAATTTTACCATTATTTTTTAATTAATCAAATAAGAAAACAATAAATACCTTCTGCCATATATGAAAGAGAACAAGATAAACAACATCAATATCGCCACTTTTAGTTTCCTTAGTCAGGGCTGTATCTTCTTCCCCAATGCCTAGTAACAAAGGAACATGGAAAAGTGCTAATTTCCTCCTGCTAGTCTGATCTGCATGAGCAGCAACTACAACATAAGAAATGCTTTTGCACAATTTTAACTGAAAAATCCCAAAGAGTTAGCCATTGACATTTTTTAGTGTACTTTAATCCTATAAAACTTTGAACAAACCTTATCAAGTATAATATATCCTGATAACCACTTCATGCAGAATAATCCTCAAAAAGAATCAATCCACCAATCAAAAATTGTAAGCTTTTTTAAGTTTCAAGCTCCATATTTCATGTACGTTGCTATTTTATGAAATTTGATGAAATAACACTTACAAGACAGCCTTGTTCTTGTTGATGATCAAATTTTCAAAAATAAAAATAAAAACCCTCTCCTAATTGTTACTATTTCGTCATGTGGAAGAAAGCCAATTATAAACAGGTTACAACAACAAAGATATCATGTAATGTAACACAACATTGTTCTACATGCATTTATACACTAAAACGACTAGTAGTATTTACATAATTCCCCCACCCCACCTCAGGCTTAGGCTTTGATTTGGTTTGGTTTGGCCAACAACAATGACAACTATACCCCTACTACTATTACTACTGCTACTACTAAAGGGGCATTAGTTAATACAATAGGTTCCAAAAATATGAGAGAAATAAACAAAATCTTTTAACAAAGGAAAGGAGAGATGGGAAGAAATTATGTACACACATACCTTTATATCTTTCTCCATCCATCTCCATGGCGTGGCTCTCATCAAAGACTGAGACTGAGACTGACAGATCCTACTTTGAAATTTCAATCGAAAACAATATTGCAGTGTGTATTCATCTTCCTACTAACCGTCTGACAGAACACAACTACCAACGTCATATGCAACCAAGATTAAGAATCACCACTTATATAATGAGATATGTTATACAACATTTCAATCACCATTTTACCCTTGCAATCTAACAAATAATTTTCATCAATTTTAACGTGAAGAAAAAAGTAGAAAAACAAATAGGTAAAGAGTGTGTATCAGAATAGATTAAACCAGGTTTTTTGATTTAATATGTTATGTCATGGAGTATAGATTAAGTCAAATAAAGAACAACCATGTGTCTAGATTAAGCTCGGTCAGTCAAAAGAAACAGAAACAACCCCTTAATCTGGTAAAGCTATATTATAAAAGTGTGTATTTCATTGACCTAATAATGCACACACAAGTAACACAACTTACCACAAAGTAGAAAACAAGGCTTTCTTACATATAAACATCCTTGTTACAATAACACACACACACACACACAGAAAGACAACAAACACCTAGTCTGCATTTGTTACAAGGTATGGGACTGGACAAGCTCTTTAGGTCTATTTTCCATGAGATAATGAGAAGGGAATTCATGTCATTTACACAGTGAGAGAAAATTTCCCAACTTGCTCTACCTTTTTGGTTGGGAGTGACAAAATCAAGACGATTAGATGTACTTTCCATTTCTGAACCCAAATCCTCTATAATTTTCTCCTGAAATGGGAAATAAACAACTAAGCTTATTTTTGGTGATGAAATAAAATATATATCTATCTATCTATGTCAATTGTGAAGTGTGAAGAAGAAGAAGATCATGATGTCCATGCATAAAGCAGATGTGCACCTATGAAAGGATTTCCTCATGTATGGTGAGCCCAACAGATCTGATCCTTTCTACACTTGCACTTGGTTCATCTAACTCTTCATCTTGTTGTCTGTTGTACCATACATACAACAATTACATATTATCCATAAATACAGATTTATATATTTCAATTTTTATTATCATTAACACAATCTACTTTGAGCTTTTTTTTTCTTATTCATCTTTAGCATTGTACGTTCAACTTCTTATTAGGACCTAAATGTTTTCCATTTGGATGACATTGTGGTAAAATTTTTAAAATAAAAATTTATAACACAAAGGAACGAAAGTAGGATGCTATAATAAAAATACATCATCATCCATGCTCGTTTTTTTGGTTAAAAAAACAATTTAAAAGGTTATAAATAGCTGGTAAAGGTATGCTAGATCAACCCATTGGACCTGCTTTTTTAGGTATATCTATCAATAAAATATGAGTATAAAAAACAATTCATTTGGGGCTAGTAAACAAGACAAGACACACTTTAAAATGATATATCTAAAGAAATTATAAAAGCAAAAGGTTAGCTTATGAGAAGCATCTGTATGTCTGATTCTGAAGAAATAAAATCATCATTATCTACAACAGCATATGATCCGGTTCTGGTCCTGTCCTTATCCTGCTGCTGATCAGACTTTGGCATCCGCATTAATTCTTGGCGCATCCCACCAAAGTTTGAACTGCTTACGGTCACAGTCACTGCTTTCTTAATATTTCCCACCTAATTGGTTAGTGGTTACATACCACACATAGAAAATAAGACTCATATCCATATTTACCAAAGTAATAAATTAAAAGATTTGTATTGTACCTGAATCGGAGCAGTAGTGGTCCACTTCCTTCGCTTTTCAAGCTCCACTTGTTTTATACCATACAAAGAAGGGTCTCTAGCAGCTACAAAAATAGTCTTTTCCAGCTCATCCACCTTCCCTATCACAAAAATTCATTTTCAGAACTCAAATTAAACAGATTTCATCTTTCTTAATCTGTCTTGTATTTCAGATACATACGTGCCATTCAATGCTCTCGCAATCGGAAAGGAGTTCCTTTGTCAGCAGGGATTGTTCCCCGCTGCCGCGTTCCCATTCATGAAAGCTGCCTTGGAGGCTATAAATCACAAAATAAATGATTATAAGTTGATAAAAACATTAACATACTTTCCCTGTATCAGGAGGACCGTAGAGAAGAACACCAGAGTGCTTACATAGCCCAGATGAAATCAAATCTTTATGAAGAAGGGGGAGCTGTAAATGCATTACCAATATGTCACAACTTATGCCAAAGCTTACAACAACCAACTGGAATTCAAGATTCCATTCCTATGTAGTATGTACCTGAACTGTATCAAGAATAGATTTTTTCACATCTTCCAGCCCACCAACATCCTCCCACTTAACATTAGGGACCTACACACACAAAAAACTCAAACTTAGTACCCTATAGAATAGATGTAATGCCACCAACCATTTTTTATTTTACACACCTTGGGAGTCCCTAAAGTCGATGCATTCCTTTTCTTTGACCTCTCCAAAGCTTTGACCATGAATTCTTTGCTGTCACCCAACTTCTCAAAGCTACTGCCATTAACAGGAATCAAACTTGAACTAGCATCAGCACCTAAAGCCTTAATATCCCTTGGCATGAAACTGAATGTCTGTCCAACCATATCTTTTACAACATCCTCTATACAAGTCTGCATTAGCATATACATCACTCATTAGATTTTAAGATAAATATATGTATACAGTAAAATATTCTTATTCTTATTTTTACTTACATCTGGAACCAATTCATGGATAAGGTGAAGTGACTGGGATAGCATTTCCACTCTCTGGTCTTCGGTCAAACCTCCCATTTTCATTTGATGGCTGAAACAATGCCTAATTGTAGGTTGCAACCCTTTAGAGTTATCAGCAGCTGCAACTAGCAGCACAGGATGGGTTTTAATCGTGTTCATATGATGCATAATGAGAGTAAAACAGTGACCAACCAATGGATAATTGACATATATTTATGGCAAAAATCATCATCTCAAAACATCAACCTCTGCTTCCTCTTCTTCATCTTCATAATCATCATCTTGTCTAAATGGCTCGGTGAATTCCCTAATGATAGATGCAACTTCAGAATTCATACCAACTTGATCATTTTGTGAACCATCATTAGAGCTCAAATTGCTGAAAGCATCAAAATGGTGCAACAGAAGAATAGTTGGTGCATATCTACAATAACACAAACACAGTCATACACATATTATCAAGAATTAATTATTACTATGAAACAAATAACAAGAAAGTAGATCATTTCACATCGTAATGGTTGTAAATACCTACGAGCTGCACTGAAAGCTTGAGCCAACATGGAAGAACCCTTCCTCTCTGAAGATGCAAGTAAATCATGACAACTATACTCAACCACATGCAGCCCAAGTTGAGAAGCAACATGCTTCACAACAGTCCTGTTCCTACACCCAGGTAAACCAAACAAAAGAACAACCATGAATTTTGATGAAAGTGCTGAGGGGCATAAAGTTGGTGTGATAATAGAGGCCATGGTCTTTACTGTGTCTTGATGTAAAGGACAGTAATGTCTTCTCTACGCGTCCCCAAAAAAACGAAGCCTATTTACTAAGAGCTCCAGGAGAAGCAACAATAAAACTTCTCTTCAATGGAGAAGCCAACTTACAGAATCTTGAATCTCGTCTTGTACTGGATAGATAAACTTTCACAAATCTCTATATACAGAATCTTGACTCCGACCTCATCTATTTCTTTTCTTTCCCATTACTAGATAGATAAACTTTCACAAATCTTTGTATACAAGATATAAAAAAGTCAAATTAGACAAACCATGAGAGTACTTCAAAATTTTATAAAGCAAGAATCAGTTACAACTAACAAAAAAAACATGAAATTAAAGAGTAGAAGTGTAGAAATAGAATAGTAATTGATGATGAAATTGAAGAGTAAAAGTGTACACTTCTACTCTTCAAATAAGCATTAATACACATCAACTAAAAGATGTCATCATTACTAGCAAAAGAGCCTCCTTGAAACGAGTCACAAAAAACAGAGAACTATAAGAGCGTGAGGTGAGATTTTGTTAACAAGAAACCTAGTTCATCGATTCTCTCACATGAGAATTTTGGGATGTTGTGGCAAATCGATCTGGTTCACGGTAGTAATACCCCCAATGTGACTACCTTCTCAATGTATCCCAACATCTCATTAGAACCTGATGTGTTTCATTTGCCCTAGTTTATGCCTTTCTCAACTCACACCCAAATGGATAGAAGTTAGGAAATGCATTTCTTCATCTTCTTTGTCGGCTCTGGCAGTGAGGGTTGGAGGCGGTGGATGTGGATGAGGAATGCGGAGACAGAGACATGGATTGAAAGGAGATATAAGAGAATAAAATAGAGAGACAAGAGGGGCGAGACGAGAGTGGATTTTGTACTTTTCTATTCCCCTCTTTCTCCTTACTTTCCTATTCTGATGATAAGCTCTGAAATGTTCTCTATTTACTTAAGATCGTCGAAAAAGGGGAAGAAGTGAGCCTGAGGTTGTTGATGGCGAATCGATTATAGAGAGCACGTAACGTGTGAGTGAGTGTTCAAATGTTCTTCAAAAAAAACCCTAGAAATTAATAGCATAATAAGAAACACGCGTTTGAGTAAAAATTATAAAGCGACATCTGCAGACGACACACACTTAAAATAAAAGCACCTTCCGTGTTTGTAATTTTTTTTATTGGACACTAATTTTAGGGTACGCACAAATACGCGTCCTCTATCCTTCAAATTTTGTGAAACTGACATTATTTTTTAGGGAACATACAAATGCACGTCCTCTATCAGCGTGTGTCATTGTTTGCGCGTCATTAAAGGGTTGTTTTCTAGTAGTGGATGTAGGTGTTGGAGTTGGAGCTGTATTTGGAGGAATTTGACATTATCATTCCAAGCTACTTGTGATGTGAGTTGTCCTCACTATACTAACAGGGTCGAAGGCACCAATGCCGACCCTTTTCGGATTTGTATTCGGCTTTATTGCATGATATGCTTATTGATTTACATCCTGGTAGTTAGGATGGTGATATGCTTAGTGACCTGGTTAGGTCGGTATCCTGGTATATAGGATAATGCTATGTTAGAGATCGGTTAGGTCGGTATCATGGTATATAAGATAATGCTATGTTAGTGACCGGTTAGGTCGGTATCCTGGTTATAGGATGATGCTATGATTATTGATCTGTTAGATCGGTATGACTATTATATACATGCTAGCGTATGATATTTATGTGCACATGATTTTTTGATTGGGGTTGGGTTGAGGTGGAACTGCTTTGTGCTAAAGTCCAACATACCATATAGAATGCAGACCCGAGAGGGCATATTAGTCAGGCCGAAGGCCCGAAGAGCAGTCCATATAGACCTTGAGAGGTGGTACAGACGTGCCGAAGGCTTGGAGAGCATCCCAGATAGACTGAAGGCCTACGAGGCATCCAGTCACATTGATGGCTCATTATGCATGTTTTTTGTTTATATGATATGATTATGATCGTATGGCATTGGTATTTTGGGAAAACTCACTAAGCTTCGGCCTTACAATTGTTGATTTTGTTTCAGGTACTTCTGATAATCGCGGAAAGGTAAAGGCGTGATCATGCACGTCCTTATGTTTTTATGATTTGATTGTTGGATACTCTGACATTAAACCATTTTGAAAACATATTTGTAATAATTATCGGTTTTTGAATGATTTAAAAAGTTTTAAATTGGCTTGAATTTTATGGATGTTACAAGTTGGTATTAGACCCTTAGTTTGAGTGAATTGGAGGAAATACTCATGTGTCTCCAGTCTCAAACCAAGGACAAGATTATAAAATGATTTTTAAAATGGTTTTCAAAATACTAAAGGAGGATGCAAGTGTATGATCAACCGGAGCCAACAAAGTAGACCCCAAAATACCTTACTAATTATTTTATTTTGTGATATGTTAGAACAACATGTTAGTACTAGGCTAGGGATCTTCAGGAATTGCATCATAGAATTGCTTGATTATATGATGTCTGCTAGGATAGGGTTTTTCCTTATATGAAATTTGTTGGAATAGTGTCTAAGGCTGCAACTATATTAGGCAAGTATTTGACCCGATTGTGCATCGTCCTTTTGGGTTGCCTTCACCATAGCTACTTGGTAGGATGATTTATTATGAGAGAATAGATATTATTAATATATTATGAAAATAATATAATGAATAATAATATTGTTATTTGATTAATATAAGTCATAGATTAATTAGTATTAATTTGGCGACTTAAAGAGATTAATAAAATAAGAGGGTATAAATTGTCAATTGTTTGATAGTTACACTTTAGGCTGTAAATCCTTATTGGAAAGAGGGTGGATGATTTCTATGGCTAGGATAAGCCTAAAATCGTCCATGGATTATCTTTGGTAAGGATTAGGATTACTTAGAGTCTAAGTTATCCAATTAGGGTTTAAGGGTGAAACCTTAGGAGCCTTACAAGTATAAATAGACCCCTTGGGATAGGGAAATCGACACCTCCTCTACAGCAAGGATACCCTAGCCGATTTCCTCCTCTCTCCTCTCAAATCATTCTCTTTGCTAGTTGGTGTTTGTAAGCCATTAGAGGAGTGACAATTGTGACTCTAAAGCTCCAAGAACAAGAAGAACAAACAAGTGTTTCAAGGTATGCTTCTAACTCTGGTTTTGTATTGTTCTTATACCTAATTAGTCATTAGGAGTCTTGGATTCAATTCATGTTTAATTAGAGAAACCTAAATCCAAGCATTAGGGTTTGTATGCGCACATAGGAATGTTCTTATGTACAAAACCCATCAGTGGTATCAGAGCCTAGATTGGTTTCTATTAAATTGATGCTTAATTGTTTGAATGTTAACTGCAAAATTCGATTTTTGTGTTTCTGAGTCATGGACTCGGCGAGTCCAGTTAGGGTACTCGGCGAGTCCAAGCGTTAGGAAGAGCCAAAATCGGGATTTTTTTCATATGTATCTTATGGAAACTTACCTTTATCATATTAGATCAACCCAAATCCGATTTTATGATATATATGACTATATTTTTGATCTAATTGAAGACATTTATCAATTAATAAAATATTTAATTTCTTTATATGATAATTATTAATTATTTTGATTAAATTGGTAAATTGTTTTTCAAGAAATCATAAATAAATCAAATATGGATAATTATGTGATTAATTGTTAATTTGAATTATTTGTTATTTGATCCTTTATGTTTTAAATGCTTAAAACTTGCCCTCAAGTTTTGAAATATATGTTTTGTGATTAAAAGTTTAATTTAGACAATTTAAATTTCAAACCCTAGAATTTTTTACAAGTTTAAAATCAAACCCTATACTAATATAATATTACAAGATTAATGTATATGTATGTATAACTTAAATGCTAGTCTTATCGTTAGTAGGCCTCATTCACGAAGCCGGTCTATAAGGTTGCGGCCTATAAAATGGCGCTTAATGGGTGTACACTTACACCCACCGCTTGCTTTATCGATGGAGGGTCGTTAGCCGAACGGGTAGGATAGGGCAACCTCATCCTCTCATTAAAAGTATAATATGAAATACAACGTAACTACATGTTTTCTTAAAATTTACCAATCTTAGTTACTTTAGGAAAAGTGAATTGATGCAATCCCATGAAATTACACTTTGCACCTTGCTAAGAAGTTAGTGGAGCGTGTGTGGTTTACCAGCACACTAATTGGTTCTAAGCGAAGGTGGCAAAGGGTGATTCATTGTTTATCATAGTTCGATGGAGCGTGTGTGGTTTACCGGCACATCGAATAGGTGATCGTTACAATGAAGGCACCATGTGAATTTGCATGGTAATCCACACCCGCTTTGTGACCCTCGGCATCCCAATCACAAACAATAGGGGCATATCGAGATTTAACCATGCCATTGAAAAGTTTCAATGAATCTCATCCGAACCTAGGAGTTCTCAATGCATTTAGGACTTAAAGTTATGTTTTTCATGATGGAGAATTAGTGAATCGTCATTCACTTACCTTCAAAATTATTTGCATATTAGATTACGGCATCCCTTTTCTAATGTGTAAATATTGTTGTTGGATCCTAGCCCTAATTTTTCTTATTGGGTGATAATTAGGGATTCACATTCTAATCAATCTTTGTCATTTCTATTGTAGATGTCGAACGCTAACAACGCTGCTGCTGTTCATTTCACTTTGATGAGCCTTTGTCAAAAGGTCACCTTTGATGGA